TTTGAGCCTCTTGAGCCTCCTCATCTTCTTCGAGCTGACCACTTCCTTCTCGTCTTCACCCTCTTCCTCCTCGTCCTCCTCCTCGTCCCCGCCCTCTTCGCTGGAGTTGAATCCCGAGTCCTCCTCTTCTGCTTCAGCGGTGCTGCTGGAACTGGTCGTCGAGCTGGTCTCCTCGTCGAAGATGTCCTGCTGCTTGGTCTGCTCACCACCATCATCAACTGCTGTTCCATCGTACTCCATTTCAGTGGTGGCCATCGTGGTGGTGGTGGTGGTGATCATCGCTCCGAATGGCACTTCCCAAGATTTACTGCTGCTCTTTCCCTTTGGGCTGGGTAAGTAAATAGTGAGAGAAAGGGAGAGGATTGCGTTGAAGGATTGCTGTTTTATTGGAGCGGATGCGTTGCGCTGCTGCTGCTGCTGTGTTGGGGATTTTCTTTTGCACTCTCTCGCTCTCTTTAGCACATGCTGCTGAACAGTACTGAACACACTGAGGAGACAAAGGAAAAGCAAAAGTCGCACGAAAAAAACTGTCGAACTGGCTCACTGCAGCGTATTCCTCACACTGTCCCCACACTGAACATGACATCTATTTCGTCATGAGTGTTGGCTGAGTATGATGAGTATGATGATGATGATGATGATGGTGCTGTTATATATACCGAAGACACCACTTTGCACTGTCATTGGTAATATCACGCCACCAGCATTGACTGCTTCTGCCGCCGCTGCTGCTGAAGAACCAGCACAACCGCACAGACCAACTGAACAACAACGACGACGAAGAAGAAGAGAGGGGAGAAAGGCGAGGCCAAATAACTGCTCCAATGCCGNACTGCTTCTGCCGCTGCTGCTGCTGAAGAACCAGCACAACCGCACAGACCAACTGAACGACGACGACGAAGAAGAAGAAGAGAGGGGAGAAAGGCGAGGCCAAATAACTGCTCCAATGCCGTCAATTGCCCACTCTGCTTCAGGTGTTTCGCACCTTTATTGAGTTGTTGTGTTGTGTTGTATTGTTATTTGCAAATGGCTGTGTGTGTGTATGCCGATGATTGGCCACCAGTCCTTCTCCCCAAATGGTCTCCCAAATTTCTGCTGATACCTCATGAGTTTTGCATTTCTGCACGGCTGCACTAAGGTTCACGCGAAAAATCGGACCGAATCATCGTGTCGGCTGATCAGGTGAGCTGGTGCTGGTGCTGCTGATGCCGGTAATTAAGTGTGCACTCAAATGGGTCTCCCTCTCTCACAAGAATTTGCTTTTTGATAAGTTTTCTTACCTGATCTAATGCTTCTTTTTCTTCTTTTTTTAGAGAACAGAATATAAGCACTACAAGTACAAAAATTAACAAGTTGACACAAGATGAACTGTAGTTTTGCTGAGGTGTTTGACAGTGCACTGATGATGATGGTTTGGTGAAGATGACGACTAAAAACGATGATGACAGTGTATTGCCCCAGGCAGCTGTATTAGCACCAGCATCACTTCCTCCAGCCCCTGCAGAGACTGACAGCAGTGAGCNCGTTTTCTTACCTGATCTGATCTAATCTTCTTTTCTTTTTCCAAATAGAATATACGCACTACAAGTACAAAAATTAACAAGTTGACACAAGATGAACTGTAGTTTTGCTGAGGTGTTTGACAGTGCACTGATGATGACGGTTTGGTGAAGATGACGACTAAAAACGATGATGACAGTGTATTGCCCCAGGCAGCTGTATCAGCACCAGCATCACTTCCTCCAGCCCCTGCAGAGACTGACAGCAGTGAGCATTAGTCAGCCAGTCAGTCACTTGTGCTCACCTGTCCTCCCTCTCTCTCTCTAACTGTTCTGTAGGGCACTGATCAATCGGCGCTTGTACAGTCATCACCACCAGCACTGTCGCCGATTGCACTGTCTCACTGTCTAGCTGCCGAGCTTATTGTACCAAGAAAGAAGATCAGCTTATCAGCTCAGGTGGCGGCGGCGACGGCGGCAAAGTACAGCACAGAACACAGAACACACAGGTAGTAGTTGCTGCACACACACACACACACACTTATCTGTCCCTATCTGCTTGCTTGCTTTGTTTCTCTTTTCCTCTCTCTTTCTCCTGTACTATGGATTGTTGTACAATCCCTGGCGACAGAATGGGGGATTAGTGGAGACTTCAGAGGAGGACTTTCTCAGGGAAAAAGAGTTTTTTGTTAGATGACACTAGATAGACTAGACAGGACATCCAGTGGTCGCTTGATTCTTTCTCCGCTTACTATTGATCTTGCACTTTTGCACTTTTTTTTGCCGACACAACCTGCTGAATGATCGATCAATCTGACATCGGCATTTGCCAGTAATTACTCATAACACACACAGCTCGTATCGATTACCGGCGCGCCGATTAGCGGTGCGTGCTGCAACACGGCAACACTCTGCCACCGTTACCTTCAACTGTGATTTATCACCGGGGCTACACAAGTTACTGATAACATAACACACACCTAATGATAATTTGCCTGTTGTGTCAACTAAAGTGAACCAGACAGGACTAGACTGGAAAAGGGAAGGGACACGAACACTGCAACACTGGACAGCACACTCTCTTTACTCTTTCTGTCACTTCTTCTTTGTCCCTGATTTGTACCTCAGTACGCCTCAAGGTCACACAGGCTCTCTTTCCTCATTGGCGCAGCATCGTAAATTTCCTTTATTGCCTCGGTGAAAGAGTGTACTTCTCTCTCTCTCTCACTCTCTCACTTTCCTTTCCTTATTTGGATTGGGCTTCTCTTGTTGCAGGCGGCAGTACGGACAATTACAGTTCTGTACTGATAATGGTAGCTGTGCTGATAAGATGGCTGTCTTTGGCTGGACTTTGATTGTTAGCAGAATATCTGACTTTAGAATGCCCCCATTCTTTTGAAAATTCCCATCTCGCTTGGACACTGAAAATGTGGAATGGAAGCTTCACTGTGCAAAAGTGCTGCNATGTGCTGATAAGAGGGCTGTCTTTTGCTGGACTTTGATTGCCGACAGAATATCGATGTTTTTCGTGTGGACACTGGCTGGTTAGAATACCCCATTCTTTTGTAAAAATCCCCATCTCTCTTGGACACAGAAAATGTGGAATGGAAGCTTCACTGTGCAAAAGTGCTGCGAATGCCTCTCTTTCTCTTTCAGTGCACTGTGTAAACGTGCACACACATTTCTTGTTTTGATTTGAACTTTGGACATGTGCTTTACTGCTGTTGTTTTGCTGTGTGATCATTTGCTGTGATCTTTTACTCGAACTCTACTTAGCAACTCCTTTTCAGTCCTAGGATCATGAACACCGATGCCGTCTGGGTGGGCAAACCCCAGCTGATCCTGTGCGACATTGAGGGCACCACCACCTCTATCACCTTCGTCAAGGATGTCCTCTTTCCGTATGTGCGTGAGCACCTCCGCGAGTACCTTCGCACCACCTGGTAAGTGCTGCTGCTGTTTCAAGTGATTAAATCTGACCATTTCTTTTTCTTTTTTCTACCAGGACTAGCAGCCAAACTCGAGAGGACATTGCCTGTCTGTGGGCGCAGTACAGCGTCGATTGCCAGACTGCTAAGACTGAGACAACCGATCCGCAGTTTCCCGCTGGCCTGTCTGACTTTGGACATTTCTCTGAAGAGCAGACCTCTGCATCGACTGCTAATAATGAGACGACCATCGAGGCGATCAGCTCGTACGTCTTCTGGGCAATGGACCGGGACCGGAAGACGACGGCGCTGAAGCAGCTGCAGGGCAACATCTGGCGCAGTGGCTACCAGGGTGGAGCGCTCAAGGCGCAGTAAGTGTTTGCTTTCTCCTGTGTGCTGCAACACATCCTAATGATTATCATTATCATCTGCAGTGTCTACGACGAAGTGCCCGCCAAGTTCCGGCAGTGGACCGAGGTGGAGCAGATCCGACTGGCCATCTACTCCTCGGGCAGTGTCCTCGCCCAGAAACTTCTTTTTGCACACACACTCGCCGGTGATTTGACTCAGGTGGGTATTGTTGATGATGTTGGTGCACTCTCTCAATCACTGACTGACTACTTTTCCTCCACCACCAGTACATCAGCGCCTACTTTGACACCAAAGTGGGCGCCAAGCAGGAGACGACCAGCTACGAGAACATCAGCGCTCAGCTCGCACTGCCTCCCTCTGCCATTCTCTTTCTGACGGACATTGCCGGCGAGGCGAGGGCGGCCACTGAGGCGGGAATGACCGCCATCCTCCTCACCAGAGATGGACAGCAACAGCATCAGCCATTCCAAAGTGTGAACAACTTTGAGCAGATTCGCTTTCTCCACAACTAAAGAGTGCACCTTTCCAAGGCAAACATTTGGTGGCCCTTAGAAGGGCCGTTGATGGAGGATGGGGTGGTGGTGGTGGGGTGCTGTTGATTGCTGGTGATCAGGGAGATCTTCGTGGAAAGCTGCTGTGTAGGTGTTGTCCTCGCCAGTCCTGGAACTGCTGGACTGCACAAGGAGAAGAAAGAAAGAAGTACCCGTTACCAAGGAAAGACAGAGAGACCAGGTGGTGATCAGGTGGCTGACCACCAGGGAAAGAGAAAGAGAGTACCAGAAGATATTAACCCAAAACGACCACTTTCGCTGCTGCTGCGACAACAACAACGGTGGTGGTGGCTGAGATCAGAGGAGGAGGATGAGATGAAGACAGACATGTCTTTGTGTGTTCAGATGAAGAGGAAGAAAGGTCCTCCAGAAAGAAGATGAACAAGTTGAAAGCACGACGTGAGATTGTAAAAGGGCAGAAGAACAACAATAACAACAAGAAAAAACTTCCTCAGGAGATCGAGAGAAGTCAGGAGATCAATGGAGGTTTAGAGCTCACAGGCGAGACGCCCAGCGAAGTGAATGACTTGGGAGATCTTCAGATTAAGACCAGGAGACAAACACTTCGACTTTGGCGACTGTCGAGAGCTGATGATGTGCTTGCTGCAGCACATGTACGCACACACGCACGCTCACCAGCAGCTGTGTGGATTGTGTCTGGCGCCAAGAAGTCGGCCGGCGGGCGCCTTTTATCCGCCAGTTGAGGATCAGCACAGAACTCGGAGAATGAGAAGCAGAGAGAAGGCGGTGATGGTGATGATGGTGATGAGCAGCAGTGAAAGGATTTGAGCGTCCATTCTTGGCGCGAAAGGCAGCCAAGTGCGACATGGCGCCAAAAGGACAGGCAGAGAGGCAGACAGACAGCGTAGAGGAGGATGATGCGCTCACTGTCTGTCTGTCTGGCGGGCGCCTCTCCAGGCTTTCACAGTCAGTGCCTCTTCGCTGTGCCTTTTATCTTCAACCTGTTTTCCTCCTTTAGTCGTCGTCGTCGTCGTCGTAGTCTTCGAAGACTAACACACAAAGGGTGAAGCTGTTTGTTCTTCGTATTACTTTGTTCATTCCTACTTCATTTGTCAGATGATTTCTCTTTTGCCCTTGACCACCTTTCATTCACCGATCTAATAAAGTAAACAATTTTTTATTCTGAATGCAGTTGAATGTTTTTGATGAGGGAATTCTTGTGGAATGTATGATTCTTGAGTTAATTTGATTTTCAAAGTTGAATTGTCGAATTTGTTTTTGAGTGTTCATCCGACAGACACAAGATGGCAGCAGGGGTTCCACAAAGTTTATTTTCCTGGTTTTCTGAACACGAGAAAAATAAAATTCACGGGCGATTTTTCGACGCCACTTTCAAGATGGCGACGCTGGTGGCGTTCCTAGCGGCCAACATCGGAAACTACCCATTTTTATGATCAATTCTGTCAATTTTTTGAATGATCATTTCTTGGGCCTGGAACGTCGCAAATAGCTCCAAGTTACTTTAAATAAAAGCTAAAGACTTGGGGCACAATCTCTATGTAAAATAAATTAGTTTTGACAAATTTTGATGTTGCAAAAATAGCATTAAAAACTTTAAAGTTAGATTTAAAAACAAAAAACTTGTCAAAACTAATTTATTTTACATAGAGATTTTGCGGCAAGTCTTTAGTTTTCATTTAAAGCAATTTTTAGCTCTCTGCGACGTTTCTAGCCTAAGAAACTATTATTTTAAAAAATGACAGAATTAATCATTAAAAACGGGTAGTTTCCGATGTTGTCCGCTAGGAACGCCACCATCGTCGCCATCTTGAAAGTGGCGTTAAAAAATCGTCCATGAATTTTATTTTTCTCGTGTTCAGAAAACCAGGAAAATAAACTTTGTGGAGCCCCTGCTGACATCTGGTGTCTGTCGGATGAACACTCAAAAACAAATTCGACAATTCAACTTTGAAAATCAAATTAACCCAAGAATCTAAATGAAAATAAAAAATTTGAAAATCACTTATCAATAAACACTAATTAAAACTGCCGAAGGTCATCGCTATTTTTCTGTTTATTTATTATTTCAACATCTTTTAATTTTATTTGCTTTGATTTATAGTAATTAACCCAAAACTTCGAAGGCCGTTAATTAAGCTGTTTATTATTAATTAGACCGCCAACACCATCAACACTTCAAGGACAGCAGTGAAAGAAGACAAACAAGAGGACTCCTTTTTGGTATAAAAGACCAGCAAGTGGGAGCAGGTAAATCATCCAAACAATCAACTCTCTCTTCTTCCTCCTCCAAAAAAACCTCAAAACAACCCCAAACAGTAAGCTGCTCTTCCTACCATTCTTACTGATACTAACTCTTGTCTTTCAACTTTTCAGCCCACCAAAAGATGGCCCGATCAATTCTCCTCGTCCTCTTCGCCCTCTTCGCCGTGGCCCTCGCCAACACCCGCCACACCACCACCCACCGTCCTCCGGTGGCCGTGCTGAAGCAGTACCTGCTGACCACCACTGGCTCGTGCGGTAAGCAGCTCAGCATGGTCTGCCAGCCCGGAAGTGCCCCTGCGGGACGTTCGCTGAGCAGCCCACTGCTCTCCAGCTCCGTCTCCAGCGGCGGCAAGTCGTCGGTGACCATCAAGCTGCAGGAGATCGCCGCCATTGCGGCTTCCAGCGCCGGAGCTAGTCGCGACTAGAGCAGCAGCAGCATCAGCAGTGGTGGTGCCATTCTTATTTAGCTAAACAATTTCAGTAATACACCCGTTTTCTTAGTCTTTATCAACCAATTTCAAATAAATGGATCAATTTATTTAATACTATTTTGATTTGATTTTACTATCAGTCAGCGATGGCAGTCAACAGACAGCAGCACAATTGCCGGAACTGGAGTCAGCAAAAAGAAGGCAAGAATCGGCACACAGCAAACACTGGATCTCGATTCCCTAACCCCTTTTTGTTTTGTTGTTTGAGTGCAAGTCTCCCTCACATCTGCCTGAGGTCTTCTCTCTGTCTGATTGATGCATTCAATTAGCCGTGTGGCTTTGCAGTAGTTGCCTCCAATTGACAGTGCCGCCAAATGTGAAAGGGAAGGGGAAGGGGCAAGGGAACAAGCAAACAAGCAGTCAGCAGCTTCCACCAGTGTATCAATTTTGAGCGCCGACACTGTCTCCTCTTTTTCTTCTTCCTCTTTTTCGGTTTCGCCGACAAACAATGGCCATCAAGGCGGCAGCAGCATCAGTCATTGTGTGGCTGTGGTGCTGCCGTCGTGTCAGTGTCACTGTCATAGTCAGTTTCAGCCTCAAACAATAGAAGTCTGCAAAAATAGCTAGCTAGGGTAATGTAGAAGCAGTTAGCAAAACAATCATTCTAGTAGACACTGAGAAAAATACTTACTGATCACACGGTGGTCTCCAGAGAGAGAATGACACCAAAATCAACACACAAAATTGGCTCTTGCAGCAGCAGCAGAGCCTGGAGGAGACAAAAGAGAGTGCGAGACAGCAGTATTGACGACTGAAGACAGATGAGGACAAACCAACAAACCAACCAACCAGCCAACCAACCAACAACAAAGAAAGAGATGACCGAATATTCTCTCTCTTTGTGTGCATTGTCTCCTCTTTCCGAAGAAGCGTGTTAGCCTACTTAGCAGTGTGTGTCCGTTTTTCCGAGTAACTCACTGACTGACTGTTTTTCTCTCTCTCACACTGCAACATTGATTAGCCAGGGCACCACGCCTACATTGTCCACAACAGTCACTGATCATCATCATCGTCGTCTTCTTCGTCATCGTTGTCATGGTAATCCATTAAGCGGTGCCCTTTTAATAATCTGCCATTCATTTCTCCCTCTCTCTTCCATCTCTTCCAGGTTCGAAAGGAATTGTATGTCCACTTTCTGTCCATTCCGCTCTTCATCATCATCATCGTCATCATCATCATCCGCCTAAAAAGCTCACGACCACACAACAACAGTGGTCGTAACCTTTTGGTCACACTTTTCCCAGCTTACACCTCACCTCTTTACTCATCTGATGCCATCTTTCCATCTGATGATCTGACCGCCGTTTTCCCGCTGTCCTACTCAACAGCAGGTAATGACCACCCTTCCTCTTTAACGACTCACACACACACTCACAATTAACAAGCCCTACTTGAGCCCTACAAAGAGTGTTTGCCTCCTTTTCAGCTTGGACACTTTGAATNGTCTTCGTCATCGTTGTCATGGTAATCCATTAAGCGGTGCCCTTTTAATAATCTGCCATTCATTTCTACCTCTCTCTCTCTTCCATCTCTTCCAGGTTCGAAAGGAATTGTGTGTCCACTTTCTGTCCATTCCGCTCTTCATCATCATCATCATCGTCATCATCATCCGCCTAAAAAGCTCACGACCACACAACAACAGTGGTCGTAACCTTTTGGTCACACTTTTCCCAGCTTACACCTCACCTCTTTACTCATCTGATGCCATCTTTCCATCTGATGATCTGACCGCCGTTTTCCCGCTGTCCTACTCAACAGCAGGTAATGACCACCCTTCCTCTTTAACGACTCACACACACACTCACAATTAACAAGCCCTACTTGAGCCCTACAAAGAGTGTTTGCCTCCTTTTCAGCTTGGACACTTTGAATGCACTGTGCCCTCGATGTGAGTATGGTGAAATCGATTCCGACTGCCTAATGACACCTCCTGCGTAAAGAGCAGTCAAAGAGGTGCACCATCCTCTCTTCTCCTCCTCTTCTTCTTGCTTTCTTTGTGCATCAATCGCGTTGAGCAGTTCTCAGGAGCACCTGTTCACCTGCTGTTGCTGAAAGGTGAACATTAGTGTGCTGGTGCTGTGGTAGGGTGGTCTGTGGTGGTGGTGGTGGTCATGACTGATGCAATCACTGCTCTCTCTCCCATTTGCATCAGCCCTCAATCTTCCTCAGCTGTCCACAAAGCAAAGCAAAGCACGGGCAATCCTCTGACAGATGCTTACCTGTCTGAGTGATGGCTGTCATTACTGACGCCTTAGCCTCCTCTCTTTCTTGTTTTGTCTTATCTACCAGGCATNTTCTCCTCCTCCTCTTCTTATTGCTTTCTTTGTGCATCAATCGCGTTGAGCAGTTCTCAGGAGCACCTGTTCACCTGCTGCTGCTGCTGCTGCTGCTGAAAGGTGAACATTAGTGTGCTGTTGCTGTAGTGGTAGGGTGGTCTGTGGTGGTGGTGGTCATGACTGATGCAATCACTGCTCTCTTTCTCTCTCTCTCCCATTTGCATCAGCCCTCAATCTTCCTCGGCTGTTCACCAGCAGCAGAGCACAGAGGTAAGGCAATCCTCTCTGACAGATGCTTACCTGTCTGAGTGATGGCTGTCATTACTGACGGCTTAGCCTCCTCTCTCCCTTGTTTTGTCTTATCTACCAGGCATCCATTTGTTGTTCTACTACCGTCTATCCATTATCGTCCTCGCCATCATCATCATCTCGCTCTCTTCAATCTTCTCAATGGACTGTTGTCTGTTTGTTTGCTTGTTCCACCACCACTAAGACTACCATTACTGATGGCTACAAACAAGCAACAGCAGCAGCATCCACTGATTGATCACTGCCACACTGGCGTAAAGCTGATAGTCAGATTGAGATAAGAATACCAGTCGGCACAATCCACCACCGCCACTCTGCCCTTGACCCACTCTCTGTGCTCTACCTGTCCCTTCAGTCAACATCATCAGACTCGNCTTCAATCTTCTCAATGGACTGTTGTCTGTTTGTTTGCTTGTTCCACCACCACCACTACGACTACCATTACTAATGGCTACAAGCATCCACTGATTGATCACACTGCCTCACTGGCGTAAAGCGGATAGTCAGATTGAGATAAGGATACCAGTGGGCACAATCCACCACCACCACCACCACTCTGCCCTTGACCCACTCTCTGTGCTCTACCTGTCCCTTCAGTCAACATCATCAGACTCGAATCAGTTCACCTCGTTTAGACTAGCACTGTGAATATTCTCTACAAGCAGCAGTAGCAGTTGTGTACTCAGTGATCATGATCATCAGCAGCACTAGCACTAGCTAGCACTACCCCTTTCAGTTGTGTGGTGAACGGATAGAACGGGTATTTTAGAAAGGCACACAGTGCTCTTCTCGGTCTTCTCTTTCCTTTTCTTTCCCGTCTGCATTGGACAGCACAGTCTGCTTCTGCTTCTACTTCTGCTTGAACCTCTTTTGCATAGTAGTACTCTCTCTCTCTCTCTCTCTCTCTCAGTCGGTCACGGTCACGGTCAACCGAGCAGTGTCAGTCAGTCAGTGGCACTAGCACTGGCAGCAGCAGCAGCTGATCCAATGGAGAACTTGCATCGAGTGCACTGACCAGTGACCATCAGCAGCAGTAATCAAAGCAGTGTGCACACTGAAGCAAAAAATGGATTTTCATCTGCTGGTCTTCATTTGTCTCCTCATACCATCATTCACCTCCTCACAACCTTCGAAAACCTCGACCAGGAGAAAGAATGCAAATTCAACAACAACTAAACAGCCTTCGAGCACTACGACCACCGACACGCCAACCCTCATCACGAAGCGCGTCTCCAAGCGGCCCTTCTACAACATCGCCCACATGGTCAACTCGCTGCACGAGATTGACACCTACCTCGGAAAGGGGGCGAACGGCCTGGAGGCGGACGTCTACTTTGCCCCGAACGCCACGCCCGTCTTCATGTTCCACGGCCACCCTTGTGACTGCTTTCGGCACTGCGCCGAACGGGAGCGCGTGGAGATTTACCTGGAACGGGTGCGAGAGCTCAGTACTCCCAGTTCAAAGGCCTACAATCCTCGTCTGGTGCTCCTCTTTCTCGACCTAAAGCTGCTTCGAATTGCGCACAGTGCCAAGGCGCTGGCCGGTGAGCAGCTGGCCACCATTCTGCTTCGGCACCTCTACAATGGCACCACTGAAGGAGCCAACAGCCCTGATGGCTCCACCATCCGCACCGTCATCAGCATCGGCCACGTCTTTGACTACGACTTTGTGCTCGGTTTTCAGAATGAGCTGGAGGGCAGTGGGCGGTCGTGGCTCTTTCGCCACTTCATCGGCTGGGACGTCGGCATGAACGACCCGCTCTTCGCCATCGAGTCGATGTGGAAGCGCTTCGAGACGGTGCACAACATCTGGCAGGGCGACGGCCGCTCCAACTGCCTCTCGCCCTTCTACAACCTCGGCCGCCTGAGTGCTATTGTGCGGAAGCGAGACTCGCCGGCCATAGGCTTTGGTGCGCGGAATCTAATTCGCAAGGCCTACCAGTGGACGGTCGACCTGACGGTGAACATTCGCACGGCGTTGCGGAGCAACCTAGACGCCGTCATCAGCAATCACCCGGAGCGGGTGGAGCATGTGCTGAGGGAGCGGGAATTTGCCGGCCGATATCGGATGGCCACCGAACGGGACTCTCCCTGGGACCGGGTTCTCCTCAAGGCGTCCTCTCTTAAGACTGCTGCTGCTGCTGCTGGAACTGGTGCTGGAACTTCTGGAACTTCTGGACCTTCCTCCTCAGCTCAGGCACTTCTTCAGAAGCCCAGTCTAGGGCTGAAGCTGGTGAATGGGGCCGGTGACATGTTGGACTCCTTGACCAAGTACGTCGGCGACCTTCTTCGGTACCGCACTCCAGTCCGCTACTACCTCCTCTCGTCGTACACCAATCGACGGAGGATGTACTATCACCACCAACATCAGAGGGACGATAAAGAAGAAGACGCGAAAATGCCTCCTCCTCTGAATATCACCTCTTCTTCCTCTCCTTCTTCAACGCTCTTCAGGTCAGTGCTCGGCCAGCTGATCACATCTCTCCTGCAAAGACTACTTCAGTAGAGAGAGCAAGAGAAAGATTGTTATTGCTTACATTATTTCCTCACCTCATTCCATTCTTGATCGCCTTATTTATTGCCATCGTCACCCTTTTTTCTTCCTTGTCTGTAAAGTAGTACTTTGTGTAAAATGAACTTTCTTTAATCTTCTGCCGTTCTTATAATATAAATACAATGAAATATGGGATTGAAAAAAACAAATGTGTGAGGTTAGGTCTTTACAG